CATCAGCAGCATCCTCTACGACTGCTGCTTCGGCAGCATCCCCTGCAATTAGTAGTACTATAGAATTGCAGTTAGAACAAGGAGCAAATACATCAGTTGGCGGTGGAGGAGCTGAAGCAGTTAGTAGTGGAATAGGCTCACCATCAAGGAACACAGCAGCAAATGTAGCCACAACCGGTAATATTTCAAAAGAAGGCACCTATGTTGAGAACAAGTCAAAGAATACTGATCGTAAGTCAAGAAAAGCTAGAAAAACAGCTGCAAAGAAAGCAAAATTGCATGGAGTTGTACAGAAACGAGGACGCCCCAATCCTGGTAAATCAAATCGTCGCAGGAAGCATTAGAGAGTAGTGTAATAGAGTAGGCCTATTCGGTCTTTTTCTGACTGCCCCACGGTCATATTCGATAGGAATACGGTATTGAGCAGCAGTGCTTTATGCAAATAAATATTGTAATTTATTTGTTTTTGAGCTGAATCATACCCACATAAATAAAGAGATATATTCAATGCAAGATTTTCCGAGAATCTTTCAATAGCAGCCTCAAACAAAGTATCAAAATTACGTGCTTCAAAAAACTTATGAGAATCGTCTGAATAGGCCACGAAATTTCATAATCACAGATTTATTTGAAAGAGGTATAGCAGGTCATCTAACCGCTAATCACAATTACGTAATTCTCACGGCAAACTTTACGGAAGATTACGGTGGACAGACGGTATTGATTAGGACCTATACATTTGAATGAACAAATTTGGGTGCGCTGTTTTTCTGCTAACTGACGTGAGTTACATCTTTTTGAGATATTCAAAAATCAATCTTCTAACAAAGAGAAGATACCTGCTTAGAATGCGATTCAAAATGGCTAGATAGTGATAAACGCAGCTTGAAACGCTGATTTATATCTATTTTCCGTCTCTGCAAAGCCTTGAGAGAATTGTGAGTTTTTTGCTAAAAATAGCCTATAAACCCTATACTTTTCGCAGATATATAAGACAGCTTTAGAATCCAATTTCGAGCTGTATTTACCAGTAAGCTTCACTTTTTAATGGCACATCGAATCATAATACTTTCTTAA